CTCCCCTCCCCTTCCCTGAGAAAACTATTCAGAAGGCTGGAGGCCGTCCGAGCCTTCTGAGAAGGCCGGCCCCCCTGTGACTTCCCCGTGGGCTCACCGCCGGAATCTGCTTCCACTATGTGTGCGTCGCCCCAAAAGGAGCGACGCACGCGCCCAGCAGTCTTCCACTACATGCTCAGCAGCCGGCGCTCTCTGGCCATACCGCTGGGGTAGCAATCTACTGTGGGATAGTTGTACCACATCTGATCAGATCGAACGCACGTCTCCAAGAAGGACATGGTATTAGTATGTCCTTCTGCGTCCTTGAGTATATATCGAGCCACGAGGCACCAGACCTAAGTCGAGTCCAGGATCGGGATAAGCAAGTCGCTCCAGAACGCTCCTGAACGCGTTCGGCTGGAGCGTTCCAGAACGCTCCGAGAGGCCAAGGCACCCGATGCGTCCTCCAGAACCGCCGGATCCTAGAGATCCCATATTCATCCCGATCCGATCGTGTCGCGTTCCTGGTTTTTTTTGGAGACCTCGGCAGGATGCCAGACCTCCATTGCGCTGCAAAACATGGGCGCGTGATTTTGTTATCATGTCTGGCTTCTGTGAGGCCCCTACCGTGCCCCTGGACTGTCCAGGAACGACTCGGGATGAAACTCCGGTCCTGGGCCAGGGAAGAGGCCGAGACCTCCTGAGGTCCACGCCATGAGCAACTCGTGACGCTGGGGGTCTAGGCACGGCGCCTGATGGGTCTCCGCGGAGTCCAGCTCCTCGAGCCTGAGCGGGGGGTGGGGAGCAAGAGGGCGCTGTACCTCTAGGCCCAGGCAAGTTTACTTGCATGCCCCCCTCCCCACACACACGACTTTTGAGACAGTGCTGGGTGGGAAAGGCGTACACGTGTGCCCCGACTTGCGTGAAGACCAGCTTGTCTTTTGGGACTCGCCCCGCCCCACCCCCCGCCCTCCATGTGCAGAATTACGTCTAATGAAAGCGAATCGGTGGTTCAAAGATTGGGTCCCGAGGGATGGGATCCTGAGGATGGGAAGGGATCCAGGGGCGGATACCCACTGGTTGGGGCACCTCGTCCTTAAATCATAGGACCCCGTCCCTCAGGACCCCATCTTTGAACCACCGAGGCGCCCGCAGCCAGGGCCGCGCGCGGCTCGGGGGGCCCGCGCCCCCTTCTTCCCCCGCAGGGCGCGGCGGAGAACTTTGGGACAGCGTGTCGCCACGGCCCCAGCTCCAGAGATCCGACGCTGCAACAAGAATTGGAGCGGCGGGTTTGGGGCCATCTTCGGCCTCCAGGGGCCCTCGCCGGGCCTCGGGGCCGTCAGCAGAGGCTCAGGAGGAACACCGGCCCCAGGGGGGGGGGGTCCGCGAGCCCGCTTCGCGCAGCTGGCTCTCCCGGCCCCGCCCCCTGCGCCGGGAGGCGCCAGTGCTTCGAGGCGGGCGCCTCTCGGCAGCGGGGGGGCGCGAGCAGCCCGCCGCACGCAGCAGACCTCGACGCCATGGATCGGCGGCAAAATCCGGACCCTACTCTTCAAGGGTGTAAAAAAACGCCCCTACCCCAGACCTCCTCGCGCTGTGAAAAAGACACGGCGGGAAGTTTCTCATGATTTTCGGCCCTGGGGGCCCTTCCCGGGTCTCGGGACCGTCAAGAAACGACTCAGGATGAAAAACTGGTCCTGGGGAATGGGTCCGGATCTTTGGGGGTCGACGTTGTGAAAAAAACACGACGTCGGGGATGGGACCCTGGCTTACGAGGCGCTGAGCGCTGAACCTCCTATGGGGCTGACAGGGTAAGCCCTGCATATCGCGCGTGTCACGCGGCGTCCTGGCGGCTCTCTGGCTTTTGGGAGCGCCCAGGAGGTTAACAGATCACCCACTTGTAACCCAGGGTAGGGGCGTTTTCGCATCCCTCAAACTTTGGGTTCCTTAAAAGCGTGGGGGGGGGCCCCCGACGGGGGTCAGCCTCACCTCGTCGTCGCGCCGCGACGGGGGTCGGAGCGCCTTCGGCGCGCGGTGGCTGCCCGCTACGGGGATTGATGTGGGGCTGCCGGCGGGGGTCACGCCCCCCCCATGCTTATGAAGAAGCTCGGAGCACCCCCGCCGATCAACGATTCGGGCAACTCGATGTTCGGCGGTTCGAAATCCGAACCCCCGCCGCCCCCCATCGATTCAGGGGAATCGATGGTTGATCGGGGTAGGATTCGGATGTCGCCACCTAGTGGAGCCCAAATCTGAATCCTTGGACCCTCCCTCCTCTCCCCTCCTCCGAGGTCCTCCTCCCTGGATCGGCTCGTCTTTTTGTTCCGTCTCGGCTTGGCTGACCCACGCTCGTGGACCGTAAGACCAGACCAACCGACAGGAGCGTATTTAAAGTTATACCAGAGAGAAAACCGAATCAGTGGATGGTTTGAAATGGGATCGATAAAGAGATCGATAGTGAGATCGACCGGGAACCCGGGAAGCCGGGAATCCGTGACCCACCGAAATCGGCGCAGAACCAATATCCCGGGATCCCGGGGACCCAGCCGGCTACCAAAATCGGCGGGAACCTCTTGCCAAATCTCTCAATTTCTGCCAGGACCCCGTCGGTGCAGGCACCGGTTGGGGAGTCGCAGGGGTGGAGCAGATGCGAGAGCGAGCCACCGCACCCCTCGCGCTCCTTCCCCGAGGTCCTCCTCCTCCGCCGCCCCTCGAGAATCCTTGACCTCCGCCGACCTGGGTGTTGCTCATGCGACGCGTGCCAGGGAGGTCCCGGCTTCCGGGCGGGCAGTTTCTGTTCGCCCCAGATCCATGTCCGATGGCTCTGTGGCCCCATTTCGGGCCCCAGGACGCGAGATCTGGGGAAAGCTTCTCTGGATTCGGATGGAAGCAGCCATCTATTGGAAGAGTGGGCTCGTGCTCACAGAGGACGTGCGCTTCTCCCCGTGGCGATATCGGGCGTGCCCGGGGGTAGGGGGAGGGGGGGAGTGCAGGGGGCTGGTCACGTCACGATTCGCGCCGGCGCCTTCATGGCTAATTCCCAAATCAAAACGAGGCCTCACCGTCGTGAGCCATTCTCTTCGTGTACCACGTGTTGCCACATCTGTGTGTACATTGTATATGCGTATATAATTAAATGGCTCCGCTCCGCTCCGCCAGAGAGGGGCTCACGAGAATATGCGTGATCGTATAGTCGAAGACTCGATTCTTGCTTACAGCGAGAGGAGGTCCCTGAGGAGCCTCCTCCCCGCGCCCGCCCCGAAGGCGCCGCTGCTGCCGCGGGCCGCCTCGCCGCGCCGGCGCTGCCTCGGGGAGCTCGGCCGCCTCGGCTCGCGGCCTCGGCTGCCCCGGCCACGGGCTGCGCCGCTCGCTGGGGCTGGCCTCGCGCGTCGTCGTCGTCGTCGTCGTCGTCGTCGTCGTCGTCGTCGTCGTCGTCGTCGTCGTCGTCCGTCGTCCGTCGTCGTCCGTCGTCCGTCGTCCGTCGTCCGTCGTCCGTCGTCCGTCGTCCGTCGTCCGTCGTCCGTCGTCCGTCATCGTCCGTCGTCGTCGTCGTCGTCGTCGTCGTCGTCGTCGTCGTCGCCGTCGTCGTCGTCGTCGTCGTCGTCGTCGTCGTCGTCACCTTACTTCGCAATCTTCGAAGGTGGATGTGATTCTTGACGCTTCGCGTATGCCTACCAGCTCCTCCTTCTGGACTAGCGGCAGTCCCGGCATCGTTTTGTCCAGCACTCCGCACTTCCGGTTGGTCCTCGGCCCCAGTTTCTGCTTGCCCGAGGTACCCATCCGCTTGTCATCACTTTGTGTGTGTCAGCCCTGCGCGTGGTGCCCATTCGGGCCCGCGTGGAGTCAACCTGACGCCTTCTCTCGCACAGATACGTGGTGACCCGCGCCATTTTGGCCGCGTCGCGGCTATGCCGCTTCCCGCACTCGTGCGTACTGCTGCCTCGGGGTCTCTCGGCTTCCGCCACCCTGGGAGTTGCAGCCTGCCAATGCACTCGCCTCCTGGCGTCATTTTTGTTGGCCGACGGTCCTTTGGACCACCCTGGTTCTCGCATTTCGCCGACGTCCGGGGCTTCGCCTGTGCATTTCTCATTCCTACCTCGGCTGACGGTTCGTTGGCCATGGCCACCCTGGTGCCCACGCAGTCGTCTGAGGTACGGTATCGTGCTTTCTCTCTCGGAGCTGTCCCTGGCCGTCGTTGATTTTCCGACTTTTGGCGCCTTCGACGGACTTGCAGCTTTGCACGCTGGCAGTTCCCCCCAGTCTCAGTCTCAGTCCCTTCAGTTATCCCCCTGCCGTTGGGCCGCTGCGTGAGGCCTCGGCCCGGCGCGTACCTGTTGCCTCGCGCGTCGCCTCTGCTTTAATTTTCTCGCGTTTCCTCTGCCTAATTAGTCTCTGCGTAGCCCGCTTTAACCTGACTCGCCGCCGGCGCGCTCGCCCGCGGCCGCTGACTAAAAAGTATCCCCACCAGCGCAAGTGTGGCTCTGCACGCTCGTTGGCCTGGACTTCGCTTTCGACAAGTGTTACAGGTTGTTACTGCCGTTTGCAGTTTTGTCGGTGATGAGGTTGCCCCTCTTCACTCCTGCGCCGACACGATGTTTTGGCCTGTGTGTCGCCTACTTCACGGATGTCGTCTGGGTGTGCCTGTCGGTCTACTTCGTCTCTGACGGTGCTGCTTGCCTGATTCAGTCCGAGCGATCGACCTCTGCGTGTTTATGGTCTCGCCGCCGCGCCATTCTGGCTGCGCTTACTTGCTGGTCGCCACCGGGCTTTCCAACGCCACCGGATTTGGGAGTATCGGTTATGGCTCTCCTTCTGAGTGGCTGCCCGCTCGCTGGCTTCGTTTGCCTTTTTTTTTCTGCTCCTGCTGCCTAGTCGCGGCCCGACTAGTGTTCGGACGTCTTTCGACCCGCCTCGCGAGCCTGTTGACCCCAAAAAGTATCTCCGCCAGCCACCCGCTGTCCTCCGTTGTTGTTGCTCTTTCTTCCCTCCCCATCCAGTGCAATTCAGGCTATCGTTCGTTATTCGTAGGTTCGGACGGTGCGCGGCTGTACCGCTTGCGCCCGCGACCAAAAAGTATCCCCACCAGCCCATCCCAAGACAGTCGACAGGCAAGCTGCCCTGATCAGAGATGTGTAGCAGCCTGCAGCCCGGACGACGACGACGGACGACGACGACGACGACGACGACGACGACGACGACGACGACGACGACGGCGACAGAAATCAGCCATCGAAGTTTTTGCGGGTCTCTGGCGCTCTGCGTGCTTGTGGTGCCTGGGGCTGGCCTTCCCTCGGCACCTCCGCCTCTGAGAGGGCCTCCGCCTCGGGAGGGCGGTGGCGCCGAGGCCCCCGCGCCAGCGCGGCGGCCGCCTCGGCGGAGGCACAGGGCGCCCTGGGCAGCCACTTCGACAGGCCGCCTCCCCCGACAGTCGGACTCCCAGGCCCCCCAGATGCCAGAGGAGGAAAAGGTGCCGATAGCGCTACAGCGGAGGCCCATGCCAAGAAACACCCTGCTTGCCTCCAGGGCGCCCTGGGTTTCTTGGGTTTCGATGGTTTTGCTGTGGAAGGCGTGACGTTCCCACACCAAAATTCGATGGACGTCCCAGCGTGTCAGGGTTAGTTTTCTTGCGGAAGGTTTCTTGTAGACTAGCCTCCGATGTTCTGCTTGCCCGAGGTACCCGTCCGCTTGTCATCACTTTGTGTGTCAGCCCTGCGCGTGGTGCCCATTCGGGCCCGTGTTGAGTCAACCTGACACCTTCTCTCGCACAGATACGTGGTGACCCGCGCCATTTTGGCCGCGTCGCGGCTATGCCGCTTCCCGCACTCGTGCGTACTGCTGCCTCGGGGTGTCTCGGCTTCCGCCACCCTGGGAGTTGCAGCCTGCCAATGCACTCGCCTCCTGGCGTCATTTTTGTTGGCCGACGGTCCTTTGGACCACCCTGGTTCTCGCATTTCGCCGACGTCCGGGGCTTCGCCTGTGCATTTCTCATTCCTACCTCGGCTGACGGTTCGTTGGCCATGGCCACCCTGGTGCCCACGCAGTCGTCTGAGGTACGGTATCGTGCTTTCTCTCTCGGAGCTGTCCGTGGCCGTCGTTGACTTTCCGACTTTTGGCGCCTTCGACGGACTTGCAGCTTTGCACGCTGGCAGTTCCCCTCAGTTTCAGTCTCAGTCCCTTCAGTTATCCCCTGCCGTTGGGCCGCTGCGTGAGGCCTCGGCCTGGCGCGTACCTGTTGCCTCGCGCGTCGCCTCTGCTTTAATTTTCTCGCGCTTCCTCTGCCTAGTTTGTCTCTGCGTAGCCCGCTTTGACCTGACTCGCCGCCGGCGCGCTCGCCCGCGGCCGCTGACTAAAAAGTATCCCCACCAGCGCAAGTGTGGCTCTGTACGCTCGTTGGCCTGGACTTCGCTTTCGACAAATGTTACAGGTTGTTACTGCCGTTTGCAGTGTTGTCGGTGATGAGGTTGCCCCTCTTCGCTCTTGCGCCGACACGATGTTTTTGCCTGTGTGTAGCCTACTTCACGGATGTCGTCTGGGTGCGCCTGTCGGTCTACATCGTCTCTGACGGTGCTGTTTGCCTGACTCAGTCCGAGCGATCGACCTTTGCGTGTTTATGGTCTCGCCGCCGCGCCTTTTTGGCTGCGCTTACTTGCTGGTCGCCACCGGGCTTTCCAACGCCACCGGGTTTGGGAGTATCGGTTCTGGCTCTCCTTCTGAGTGGCTGCCCGCTCGCTCGCTTCGTTTTCCTTTTTTTTCTTTTCCTGCTGCCTAGTCGCGGCCCGACTAGTGTTCGGACGTCTTTCGACCCGCCTCGCGAGCCTGTTGACCCAAAAGAGTATCTCCGCCAGCCACCCGCTGTCCTCCGTTGTTGTTGCTCTCTCTTCCCTCCCCATCCAGTGCAATTCAGGCTATCGTTCGTTATTCGTAGGTTCGGACGGTGCGCGGCTGTACCGCTTGCGCCCGCGACCAAAAAGTATCCCCACCAACCCATCCCAAGACAGTCGACAGGCAAGCTGCCCTGATCAGGGATGTGTAGCAGCCTGCAGCCCGGACGACGACGACGACGACGACGGACGACGACGACGACGACGACGACGACGACGACGACGACGACGACGACGACGGCGACAGAAATCAACCATCGAAGCCTTTGCGGGTCTCTGGCGCTCTGCGTGCTTGTGGTGCCTGGGGCTGGCCTTCCCTCGGCACCTCCGCCTCTGAGAGGGCCTCCGCCTCGGGAGGGCGGTGGCGCCGAGGCCCCCGCGCCAGCGCGGCGGCCGCCCCGGCGGGGGCACAGGGCGCCCTGGGCAGCCACTTCGACAGGCCGCCTCCCCTGACAGTCGGACTCCCAGGCCCCCCAGATGCCAGAGGAGGAAAAGGTGCCGATAGCGCTACAGCGGAGGCCCATGCCAAGAAACACCCTGCTTGCCTCCAGGGCGCCCTGGGTTTCTTGGGTTTCGATGGTTTTGCTGTGGAAGGCGTGACGTTCCCACACCAAAAATCGATGGACGTCCCAGCGTGTCAGGGTTAGTTTTCTTGCGGAAGGTTTCTTGTAGATTAGCCTCCACTGTACCGCTACCCTTGCCTCGGTGTTCCCTTCTCTGGGCCTCCTGGGAGGCCCTCGTCGCCACCGCTGGTTTCTCCTCGAAGTTCTCGTCAGAGTGCGCCCCGGGAGAGGTCCGGGGACCCCATCTGGGAGTCATCTACAGACGTGGTGCTCGCGACGTGAAAAATCAGGACGGGATGTTGTTGGCCGATTTGGGTTTTCTGGGGACTAGGGCCTGGGACCGTCAAACATCGACGCAAGATGACAACCCAGGTGCTTAGAAGGGGTCGGGATTTCCTGGGACTCCGCACTGAAACAAGATGTTGGCATCGCATGCTTGGGCAGGGGTCGTCGCCCTTCTTGGCGGCGCGCACTGGCGGTTCTATTACTGGAGAGCCCAAGCAGTATCAATGACATGCCACTGCGGGGAACCCATCAGCGTGTTATTGTTGATGGGCCTGCTTTCCACCACCACCACCATAAGTTGGAGGGGGGAAGGAGGAGGAGGACGAGGAGGAGGAGGACGAAGAGAACGAGGAGGAGGAGGAGGAGGAGGAGGAGGAGGACCCCCTCCCCCTCCAACTCATGGTGGTGGTGGTGGTGGAAAACAGGCCCATCAATTGTTGAAGTAGTACCATGCTCTCAGACAGCAGCGATGGAGTCACACGCGGACGATTTCCCAACGGGGGCGTGCCCTCGAGAGGCACTCGTGCTCCCCGCGGTCGGGGACGGGCGACGCAAAAGCAGGGCACGCCGCCAAGAGGGGGGAGGTGCCTCGACGGGCGGCGCGCACTGGAGGTCCTGGCGCCTCGCCCGCTCTGTGCTTCGCCAGTGTCGTCCTGCTCCCTCCCCCCCCCCCCGTGCACCCCTTCGGGGCGCCAGGCGTTGGTTGCCTCCTGGGTTCCCAGGCTTCGCTCATTGGTAGTTTCTCGATCTTGCTTGCCGCCGTGGGCGGCCTTGCGACGTCACCCTTCTTGACGGCGCGCGCTGACAGATCTTCCCTTCTTGGCCTTCGGGTCCTTCTCCGTCGCCCCGAGTGGTCTTTCGGCGGCTGCTCGTAAGAGTCACCCTTTTTGGCAGCGCGCACAGGTTCGGGTCGATGCTTTCGATTGTTCTTCGACACATTGTCTGACGTGCACGTCAGTTCCCGAAGAATTTCCGAGGCTTTCCAGCAGCTGCGCCTTCGCCGTGGGCGTCCCGGGGCTGCCCGGATCACCCCGAACGGCAGTCAGAGGCTTGAGCCACGGCCTGGAAGCCACCCGGTTGCCACCGCGCGGCGGGCGTCATGGCGCGAGGGCCAGACCTCAGACGTCGTGAACTTTGGAGGTCTCGACCCTTTCCCTGGGGCCTGTTTGCTCCTCGCGAGTGGCTTTTGATGGTCCTGGGGCCCGGCCAGGACCCCCCAGAGGCCGAGAACTGGGAGCCGAATCCGTCGCAATGTTTTCCAATACGTTGGAGGTCTGGGGTTGGCGGCGCGCGCTACGGGGGTGGCGCGAGGGATCGGACGTTCACGCAACGCCGCGTTCTTCTTCTCGTCTGCCTCCGAGCCACCCCCGCCCCGCCTTCTGCTGTGCGCTGGTCGCTTCGTGCTCTCTGGCGTCGGTGCGAAGATTTCGCTTTCGCGCGCCACTGCATGCTCGCTCCGAGGCGGTCGGGGATGTGGTGGCTCGAGCTTGTGAAAAAGGGAGGGGTGGCGGTCGAGGAAGAAGAAGCATTTGCATAAACATCGCTTTCGGAGGGCCCGCGAGGTTCTCTTGGATCGGCGCTGGCCCCCCCGCCCCAGCGGCGCCTCCGGCGCCGCTCCTGGGGCGCTCCGCGCGCCAGGGAGGTGGGTCTAGCGTCGATTCAAGAGATCCACGCGCACATCCGAAAGTTTGACGTTTATGTGTTCTTCATCGGGGGCAGAATTTCGGCGGATCGGTTTTTTTTGTCGTTCCGCGAGTGTTCTCCTGGACCTGGGCCCGCTCTCGGAGCCCACACGTTGGGCCACCAAGAGTGCACCCGGGATGGAGAGCTGCCGTCGCGGGAGATGGTCGGGAGCTCCTTGGGTCCGCAGACTGAACAGGGCACATCGTCGGATGTCTGGGAGGAGGATCGAGAATCGAGGACCGAGGAGGAGGAGGAGGAGGAGGAGGAGGAGGAGGAGGAGGAAAAGGATCGATGGCAGCTCCAACCCTGGACCTGATGCTCGACGATGCCAGAGATCCAATGTCTTCATTTCTTCAATGCTTGACCCCCGAAAATCCCGACCCGTTCCCCCTGGCCAGCTGCCCATCGTGAATGATTGTTTGACTGTCCCGGGGCTCGGCGAGGGCCCCCAGAGGCCAAATACGGCGAACAGATATACGCCTCGACTTTTGACCGGGATCGAAGCGGAGGGGGACAGATGATCGAGGACCGAGGGAGGAGGATGGAGGATCGAGCATCGAGGAGGATTGCGGATCGAGGACCGAGGATGAGGAGGGTGGAGGTTCGAGGACCGAGGAGGATCGATGATCGAGGATCGATTATCGAGGATCCAGGCTCGAGGAGGAGGAGGAGGTGAGGTGGAGAAGGAGGAGGTGGAGAAGGAGGAGGAGGAGGAGGACGGGGGGCCGAGGAGGACCGAAGAGGACCGAGGAGGAGGGTGGAGCATCGAGGACCGAGGAGGACCGATGATCGAGGATCGAGGCTCGAGGGCCAGGAAGGAGGACCGAGGATCGTGGATCCAGGGCAGACGGAGGATCGATGGCCGGCGGCCTGCCCCATCACATCTGGCAGGCCGCCGGCACGGGCTGAGCAGGCCGCCTCCGCCTCCTCCTCCTCCTCCTCCTCCTCCTCCTCCTCCTCCTCCTCCTCCTCCTCCTCCTCCTCCCCCTCCCCCTCCCCCCCCTCCTCCCCCTCCTCCCCTTCCTCCCCCTCCTCGCCGCGAGGGACCCCGGCCCAAGCAGCAACACGATCATGTAGAAACGACAATCCGAGGCGGGCACTTCCAGTGGAGACCCATGGCAAGAAACACCCTGCTTGCCTCCAGGGTGCCCCGGTGATCGTTTTTTTATGCATTGTTTTGCCGATCGGCGCGGGCCTCGGACCCCCCCTCTCCCCCCGCCTCCCCCTGGAGTGGATCCTGGCTGTTTTTGGCGCCTGTTTCGAGCAGGTGGAGTCCCCCCCCCATAGGATGCACTGTCGCAGACAGTCGCACTAAGCAGAGGTCCGGAGCCAGACCCCCACCCTGCCCCCCCTTTCCGCCCAATGTCGAAACGCCGAATAAAAAAAAGTTCACTTGTGTTTTTGACAGTTTTGCTATGGAAAGCGTGACGCTCCCACACCAGAAGTCCATGGACGTCCTGGGTGGGGTCTCAGGGTTGGGTTTCTTGCGGAAGGTTTCTTATGGTCGAGCTCCCATTGTACGCGCGACCACCACCTGGGGGATCCATCTTCGGGGACCTCGGCAGGCGGTGAATATGGGCGTTGGCCGACATTCCGATCCGTTGGGATCACATCGGTCGGGAGAGGAAACAAAAACAAAAAAAAACACAGCCGCAATGAGTCGTCGATCCCCAGGAAGATATGGGAAGACATGTGAAGTAGGGGGGGGGACGAGACCCCAGAACAGGTGGGAAAACATATATATATATATACATATATATATATATATGTTTTTTGTATTTACATATATATATATATACACATATGAAAAGCGGATTTGCATATATTTCTCTCTGTGTGTGTGTCCCTGGGCCCCTCTACCAGGGGATGCCGCCGGGAGAGCGCGCCGCGTTCGGCCGGGCCCAGGGCCCCCAGAGACGGGGCCGCGGACCCGTGGCCGAGCAGCCTCCGTGCCGGCCCACGGCCCCGCCGACCGGGCTCGACCGGGCCGCGGCCCTGCGGAGACGGGGCGCTGATCAGCCACGCGCAGAGGGGGAGGACGAGGACGAGGACGAGGACGACGACGACGACGACGACGACGAGGAGGAGGAGGAGGAGGAGGAGGAGGAGGAGGAGGAGGAGGAGGAGGAGGGGGGAGGGGGGAGGGCTTGTTAGAAGCACCCCTGCTTCTCAGAAGGCGCGGGCCTTCTCCATAGACGTAAGGCCGGCGCCTTCGAAGAAGAGCAGCCTCCTTCTGAGAAGCCCTGCCCCCTCCCTCCATCCCCCTGTGCGCGCCGCCAAGTGAAGGTTCCCGGATGCCCCGCGCGGACCGTAGTACAGGAGATGCCCATGCCAAGAAGCACCCTGCTTGCCTCCAGGGTGCCCTGTGGTTTCGACGGCTTGTGTCCTGTGTATCACCACCAGCCCATCTAGGAACGATACCCATGAGAAGTGCCCTTAGCGGGGGCGCGTGGCAGCGTTCGGACACCTCGGGGAGCCTCAGGGAACGAGAGGCCTCTTGGACGCCTCCCGGAGTCGCTTGGCATGCCTCCTGGGTGGCTTTTGGTGGCCTCCTAGGGTGTCTCTTGAGGTTGCCTTGGGGGGCCTCTTGGGGCGTCTTGGGGGCCTCTTCCGAGCCTTTTGGGGGCCTCTTGGGGGTCTCTTGGGGCCTCTTGGGGGCCTCTTGGAGCTCTCTTGAGGGTTGCTCCGGCCGTCGTGGAGCCATCTGGGAGGCGATCGATCAAAGAAGGGGCGGCTTCAATGAGCGTTCCCCCCCCAAGGCCGTCAAAGTTGGCTCAAATCCTTTTTGGACCATCCATGACTGTTGCCTTCTCGCTGAGGCCTTCTTGAACGCTCTGACTATCCGCGGGGCGCCCCGACCAGACGGGGCAGGGGATTAGGGTGAGGAGTCAAGACACCCCCCAGATAGCAAGCCGTCTAGCTCATTCCCACCCGCCTTCCAACACATCAGTAACACCCGAGCCTCAGCATGTTCAGCGGTCGTCTTTGGATGGGCAGCTACTGGGAACCAAAACCGAGCCCATGTGCGCGACGCTGGGGCGAGGTGCGCCACGCGTGCCAGGCGGGCCACGCGCGCCAGGCACCCCTAGGGCCCGAGCGTGGCAGGCACGCCTGGTGCGCCAGATGCGCCAGGTGCTCCGCGTGCGCCAGATTGTGCTGCATACTCCAGCCGCGCCAGGTGCGCCACGTTCGGGGCACGTGCGTGCAGTGTGTCAGGTGCGCCTGCGCACGTGACAGCATACATCCGGAAACATGTCGGCCCCCACCATGCTTGTCGAAAACCAATGCCCAACATTGTGTCTGGTGGGCCTGCGCACAGTAGGCTATACGCCACCACCCTTGCCGTCTCTGTCAAAAACCACTTGACAATGATCGCGGGGTGGCCGCGAATGGTCCAGATTTAGCCGCGAGGTGCATTTTGTATTTTGTTTTGTCATGGATGGTAGCCCTGCGCACAGCAGGCAATATGCTGACCCCCCCGCGGTCCCTGCCAAAACCATACAAAATGTTCGCGGGCCTCACGACTCCAGACTTTGCCCCGAAGTGTATTTTGAATTGTTTTTTGACAGGGATGCTGTGGGGGGCACATCGAATTGGTTGCGCATGCTCCGAATTTGGAGGCTGCGTGCGTGTTCTGTTGTTTTTTGGACAGGGATGATGGGAGGAGAAGCATGGTTCCTGGTTTTCCGGGGGGAAGGGGTTCGTATTAGGGAACAGTGGTCGAGACGCCTCTCCCAGACGCATGTGGCTCATCCCCACCCGCCCTCCCAACACATGAGTAGCACCCGAGTCTCAGTGCATTCAGCGGTCGTCGTCTTTGGATGGGCAGCTGCTGGGAACAATTGCAGACCCCAGCTGCGCGAGGCCTGGGCGAGGCGCGCCAAGTCGGCTCCCACCATCCCTGTCGAAGACCACTGTACACTCGCGACGGGGTGGCCAGCATGATGCCTGGTGCGCCTGCACACAGCAGGCAGTATGCCAGCACCCCCACCGTCCATTTCAAGAACCAACGCAATACGATCGCGGGGTGCCCTTCACACGATCCAGATTTAGCCGCGGAGTGCACTTGTCATTTTTGTTGTTTGACAGGGGTGGCTGCCCTGCGCGCAGGAGGCCCTGTCAACAAACAATGCAACATGCTCGCGACCTCCGCCGCGAGCATGACCAAATATTTTGCCGCAGAATGCAGTCGACATTGTTTTGTCGACAGGATGGCCCAGGAGGGGGGGTAGCATTGGCCCTGGTATGTCGCTGTCGGGTGGGGGAGGGGAGTAGTGATAAACTGCTCTCCGAAGGGGAAGACCGGGGTTGGAGAAGAAAGCGCGCAAAACCACCCACGCTCTGAAGGCCCGGTGGAGACTCTTCGGGGAGCCCCTGACGTCCATTGCGGGGGGTCGCCCCCTCCCCGTCCCCCCTCCTCCCTGTAACGGTACCGAGCTTGCGCGGGTGGGAGGGGAGCCCGGTGCTGACAGGGATGCTGTGGGTGCTTACAGACATGCTTTGGTGCTCGCTGGCATGCTGTGGTGCTCGCAGGCCCTCCCCCTCCCCCTCCCCCCCCCCTGCAAATGACGTCACGGGGGGGGGATAGAAAACAGTCTCGTGTGAAGACGGCAGATCCCGAGGCCCCGCGGGCGCCGAACGCTGCGTCACCGGGTGGGGGCGGGGGATGATTGGCCAGGCTGCGGCCGTTACGCCGAATTATATTAATGTGCAGTACCTGGCCACTACAACCTTTATGACTACGCCAGGGTGTGGCTTGCGATCGGACCGTTGGGTCCAGGGGAGCACCACACTGTCCTCGTCGGGCCGCCTCGGGATGCGGCGGAGAACTCTGTCGAGGTCCTCGCCCGCCCCCCAGGGTGCCCCCAGGGTGCCAGTTGCAAACCACACCCTTTACAAACCACACCCTTCGGAGTCTCCGATAAATCGATGTACATCTGTATTCTATACAACTGTATATGGGTGCCTGTGTGTGCTTATGCATGCGTACATATATATATATATACATACATACATACATGCATACATACATACATACATACATACATACATATATATATATGTATATATATATATATATATATATGTGTATATATCTCTCTCTATATATATATAAAGGGCCGAGCGCTCTTACACCATCCCTGAATGCGTGCCCGAAGTGGGCTTCGCGGTGAGGGTTCTTGTTGTGTGTTGCTTGTTTGTTGCTGTCGTCGTCGTCCTCGCTCGCGACCCGCCCGCGACCCACCCGCAACCCGCACGCAACCCGGGCGCAACCCGCCCGTGACCCGCCCGTGACCCACTTGCGACAGACCCGCTACCTGCCCGCGATTCACCCGCGACCAACCCGCGACCCACTCACGCTGCTTTGACTACAAACGACGCCCGTGGCGGGCTCGTTGTGTGATGTGTCGAAAATCGGCGCCTCTGGCGGGTGTCTGGACAGCCTCGCAGACTGCCGACGATCCCGCCGCCCCCCTCACTATTATCGGCAACCGCGGGGGCTATGGTGTATGTATATACATAAGAGTTTATATATTTGTAGATGCATCGTATGTGTGCATGTGTGTATGCATGTACGTATGTATGTATGTATGCATGCATGTATGTATGTGCGAACGTACGTACGTAATTCACTGTCCCTGGGTGCGTGGCTGAAGCGGGACTCCGCGGCCCGGATTATGTTTGTTGTTGGTGTTGTTGTTGCTGGTGCTGATATTGTTGTTGTTGCTGTTGTTGTGCTTGTGGTTGTTGTTGTTGTTTCTGTTGCTGCTGCTGCTGTTGTTGTTGTTGCGTTGTTGTTGCGTTGTTGTTGTTGTTGTCGTCGTCCCCCCTGCGGCCCGCGACCCACCCGGGACCCACCCCGCGACCCACCCCGCGACCCACCCGCGACCCACCCCGCGACCCACCCGCGACCCACCCGTGACCCACCCGCGACCCACCCACGACCAACTCCACGACCCACCCGCGATCCACCCGCGACCCACCACCCGACCCGCCCGCGACCCACCCGCGACCCACTCAGATGGCTTAACGAAAAAATTGGCGCCTGCGGCGGGCTCCTTGTATAAGTTGTGAAAGTTTGGCGCTTGCGGCGGGCTTCTTCAGAGCCTCGCAGACTGACGACGCTCCCGCCGCCCCCTCAATCTTATCCGGAACTGCGGAGTGCTACGTGTGTATACATATATATATATATATGTATATATATATATACACATGTGTGTGGGAGTGTCGGAATCTTCCGAGATTTCCCTTAGGGCGCGGCCGCGCGCGTGCCGAATCCGACCTTTCTCCGCCTCGACGCTGCGCGCGAGGCTGCGACCGCCAACAAGTGTGTGCGTGCGCGCGTGTGTGATTGTATGTGCGTGTGTGACTGTGAGTGTGTATCTAAATTCCTACCGTCTGTGACGCCCCTCGCCTTCTTAGACGGCCGCCCCCCTCGTGCCACCCACTGGCGCGCGCGCGCGCCTCGAAACAAATTGAAAGCAGGTGTCCCCCCAACACCCTCGATGCACACAGCTTCGACACCCAGAGGTCTCGACCGCTTCCCTGACGCCGTTGGCCGGTGAAAAAGTGGCTTCGATGTTTTCGGCACGCAGATGGTCTGGACGCGCGGGGAGGATGGATGATCGAGGACTGGGGAGGAGGACTCAGGCTCGAGGACCTAGGAGGAGGAGCATGAGGCGGAGGGTGAGGAGGATGGAGAACCTGTCAACAACGAGAAAAGGCTCGAGACGGATCGAGGATCGAGGAGGACGGGGGCTGCCAATGGTCAAAAGCCGTCCGCCGCGATACCTCTTCACAGCGCGATGCTCGTCAGCACAGCCTGGATCGCCGGCGCCATCATCCTCGCCAGCGCCGCCGAGAGCTCCGGTGACAGCATCCTCGCCAGCACTGCCTGAATCGCCGTTCGCACCATCCTCACCAGCGCAGCCAGCCACCTGGTGCTGGCGCGGGGGATGGTGCTGGCGATCCAGGCTGGGCGCTCTGGGCGCTCTGCGCCCGCGCCGCCGCTGCGCCGCCGCCAGGCAGCGGGGCGCCAGCGGATGGTGCCCCAGGAGCCTCGAGGAGGCGGCCGCGGAGGACCGCGCGCGCCCCTCGGAGCGGGGCGGACGGCGGGCGCCACTCCTGTGCCGCGCTGCGGGCCCTTGGGGGTTGGGATCGTCGTCGTCGTCGTCGGAAAGGGGGAGGAGGATGCGAAGGATGCGGAGGCGGAGGCTTGCAGCAGGCGAGGGCGGTTTTGCCCATGGTCAGGCATCGGGTCGCCAGGCCGAGGTGCTGCAGCCGCTGATGCAGACCGAGGACTCTACGCGGCTACGCTTGAGGAGGCGGAGGCGGAGGTGGAGGAGGAGGCGGTGGAGGGTGGACGATCGAAGGGGTGGTGGAAGAGGCGGCGGCGGCGGAATCCGCGGGAACCTGCGGCTATCCACGCTGCGTGGGGAGGAGGAGCCGCGGGAGCCAGAGCCGGACCTGACGAGCCTGGACCCCCCGACCGCGCTGCTCTCCGACGTTCGCCTCCATGGGGTCCAGGGTGAGCGCCCCGTCGACGCTCGGCCATCGGCGCAGCACGGGCTTTATCGCTGTCGCATCTGACGAGGCCCCTCGTCGTGGCACTCCTCACACACCTTGCACCTGCACGCTCAGCACCACCACAGAGGGACCTCCAGGACGATGCGCTTGCACGCTTCGCACTCGTTGGCGAGGATCAGCAGCGCAAGACGCCGCAGCTCGCGATCTCGCGGGCAGCGTGTCAGGTCGATTCCACGCCACTGCGCATGGACGTGCTGCTCGGGCGGCTCCCCATCGAATGGCACCTCGGCGGTGAAGCCGCAGAACAACCAGAGATCGTAGCAGTTGGCGTGTCGGCTTCCCGTGTATAGCGATTGGCATCCGCAAGTCCATGTGCAGGGTAGGGAAATATTGGTCTATTGGCAACTGAAGACGCAGAGCCTCAGCGGATTACGCCGAAAGAACAAGAGGTTCTTCATGTGAAGAAACCACAAATACGTGGGCCAGAACGTCGAGATGTCGAAAAAGATCGACGCACATGCTATTACGGCTCCGCTGGCCCGTCCCCAGGACCATATGTTGGGGGGAGGGGCCCCATCCAGCAGGGATCTACACCGCGTCCCCGACCGAGATGTTGTGAATGAGCACGACGGGCTCCCACGAGCGGCTCCCAGCGTCCAGCGCCAGGGATGGAAGCGGGGACATCCCCGCGGAGCATCGCGCCTCCGCAAGCGGCACCAGCCTCCTCGGGCTGCAGGGCGGAAGCAGGGGGTGCAAGAGGCGGAGGAGGGGGAGGCGGGGGAGGTGGGGGAGGAGGGGGAGGAGGAGGGAGGAGGAGGAGGAGGAGGAGGAGGAGGGAGGGAGGAGGAGGAGGAGGAGGAGGAGGGAGGAGGAGGAGGAGGAGGAGGAGGAGGAGGAGGAGGAGGAGGGGAGGGAGGAGGAGGAGGAGGAGGAGGAGGAGGAGAAGGAGGAGGAGGAGGAGGAGGAGCAGGAGCAGGAGGAGGAGGAGAAGGGGGAGGAGGAGGAGGAGACAGAGGGGAGGGCGGGGGCCCTACCTGCTAAGTTGCGGACCCTTGGGCGTCGTCGTCGTCGTCTTCGTCGTCGCCGCCGCCGCCGTCGTCGTCGTCGTCGTCGTCGTCGTCGTCGTCGTCGTCGTCGTCGTTGTCGTCGTCGTCGTCGTGAGACCCTGAGCTCCTCGCGCCGCACTTTTTCCACACCTGGCGTTTCTCCCGTGGATTTCTGGCACGTGCCTCGCACCCAGTTTAGTTTTATAGCTCTGCTATATGCCATCCGTGCTCGCGGGCCTGCCGGGCGCGTCATTTCAAATATGTTGGGTTTCGCTGTTCTCTTTGTGTCTCTCTCTTTCTTCCCCCCTCTTCTGGCCTCTCTCCTGCGTGATTGGGATTGGGGAACTATTCCATCACCCGCTGATTGCAATGCCGATAACCTTTGTATGCTGCCCCTTGTACGGGCCGCCGCTGTAGTTCGACTTGTTAGTGTGCGTGCAGGCTTTTTGGCTCCCACGCTGCCCATTCCTCGTCGTCGCCCTCCTCCTCCTCCTTTGCTCCCCTTTCAAATACCACCGCGTGGGCCGAGCCAACCCCACTGCTGTGCCTGTGCCCGCAGCTTGCCCGCCGAGATGGGACCCAATACTTGCACGAACTAAAGAACTGTGGTACAGCACTCATCAGTGTTTGCGCTGTGGAGAAGGAATAAAAATTATCCCTTGGACTTCTGACCGTGACCGTTGCCGGGGTACCAGGTACGGTTATACAAGGACTGGCCTGGGCAAGCTGGAGGTGGCCATCCTCGTACAACAGCTTCGCCGAGACATACGGCACGTGCCACGTGCAGCGATTGGCCTTACATCCATGCTGGAATACCCAACTGCGCTATTGGTGGACCACTCCTCGCCGGCCTACCCTGAATCTTACGACCAGGTCATACTACTTACGAGCCGCCTGGGCGCAGTTATAACTACTGCAGACAAGACGACATGGGAGCGCCTGCTGCCGCAACAAAGGGAATTAAACAGCGACGACCACATGCCAAAATCAAGTTGGAGACGGAGTACGAGGAAAGGGCGGCCATGGATTTTGCAGCAGATCCTGGCCCCTGCCAGCGCAGCCTCTCTCCGAAGGGACTGGGTTGGCCAAACTGGCCCAGTTCGGAACGCTGTGCATGTGCACATCCAAGGCGGTGTAGGCTGGGACCCGACTCCGTAGCTAGATCACCTCTCGACGAAGGTGGCCGCGGCTACTTCAGAGACTTGGACCAGCGTCCATATGGGTGCCGTGCCGCAAGCGGATCAACTTGCACCGGTCCCCGGCGCAGATTGCCAATGGACTGGTGGCGTGCCGATTGTAGCTTCAACCCTTGCGAGCAACGCAGCAATGGCAACTATGTTGATAGCTTGCTGCGTCAGCGGGGTGCCCGGCACCCACAGGCTCGGGGTCAGGGTCAGTCGCGACTACGGGGCACAGGGCGCGGCCACCAGACGGCCGGAAACGGGCGGCGGGGGGGTCGCGGAGCTGGGCGCCCCCCGCCTCGCCGATGAGGGAGCTCCACCGAAGGCCCCAGCGGGAGGGTCCGCATGGCACCGCCGCCCCATTTCGGCACACCCCTCACACGGGGTTCGTGGCCCCATAGGGAGCTCCACCCAAGGCTTCCGTGGCAGGGTCCGCATGGCACCGCCGCCCCATTTCGGGACACCCTTCACACGGTTTCTGGCCCCATAGGGAGTTCCACCGAAATTGGTACCCGCAGCGCGGTATGCACACTTGCGTATGTCTGGGTCTTTCGCCAGGAAATTGTTCGTGACGTCGGATTTTCGGGTGGGGAACGGAGGAATTTTCCGATGAGGAAGAGGATGAAAATATTGGGGAGAGAAGGGGGGGATACGAGGAGGAAAAGGAGGAGGAGGAGGAGGAGGAGGATAAGGGAGAGGCAGAGATGGAGGACAAACACACCCACACACAGGAGGAGGAGCAGGAGAGGGATGCGCAGGATAACGATATTGCAACATGGGGCAGAAATTGCCAACCCACCACTGAGATGTACACATGCGTGCCCATTGATTCCTGGCCGCAATGCATGTTTCTTCTCCCGAGGATGCCGAGGAGGATAAGCCTGAGATGTTCGAGGGTGGCTTCAACCTGGAATGCTGCCTTCTTGGTTGCAACTCTTCGCACGAGCGCGTGTTACTTGTGATACATGACAGGCTAGTAATGGAGAGGATGCAGGGTTGTCGGCCGCCCATGATGGCCTTTGCAGATGCAACAGCTGTAAGCGGAAGAGCAACCCGTTCTTTACCGTTTCCTTTTGCCCGCCTCCCTGCTCGTCGTTCGTCTCGTCTTCCTCCTGCTCTTCCTGCTCATCGCCACCGCCGCCGAGGGTGTCGTTGTCGAAGACTGACGGCACTTTTCTCGTCTTGTTCGTGACCGCTTGCGTTCGCCCCTTTTCCTTTCGGAGTGACGCCTCCTCTTGCTCACCCTCATCTTCCTCCTGCTTACTCTCCCCCCACTCCAGACCTCTGGCGTCGCTTGTCTTCCATACGTGGGCCAGGCCCAGGAACGTCGATATCTTCCTGGGGACCCCTCCCCCGCCCCCGCCCGCTCGTCCGTCTTCCCCTCCTGTTCCCTTCCTGCTGTCACTAGCGACGGTTGGCCTAGCCCGCCCACGCGCCGGTGCGGATTGCGTCCGCCGCGGCTGTTACTGCACAACGCCTTCCCCTCCGCCTCCTCCTCTCTCCCGGCCCTCTTCCTCCTCGCCCCCCGCCGCGTGGCCGTCCAGACCGTTGCGGCGGGTGCCCAGTAATAGTTGATACGATCTGCGGGCGGTACTTCGTGACATTTTCGCTGCGTGCCCCCACCTCCGTATTCTGGGCGCTGGAGCGGACTGTGCTCTCATGTTTCATGACGCGCTTGTTTTCCACCACCACCACCAAAAGGTAGAGGGGGGAAGGAGGAGGAGGACAAGGAGGAGGAGGAGGAGGAGGAGGAGGAGGAGGAGGACGGAGAGGAGGCGGAGGAGGTGGAGGAGGAGGAGGAGGTGGAGGATGAGGAGGTGGAGGAGGAGGAGGAGGAGGAGGAGGAGGAGGAGGAGGAGGACCCTCTCCCCTCCAACTTATGGTGGTGGTGGTGTGCAGTGTATGTGCACAGCGTTTTCCCTTTCTGCTGCCCCGGGGGGGCCCGCCGACGCCAGCCACAGCCGCGGCGCCGGAGCGCCAGGGCTGCAGCAGACGCCCGAGGTGGCCTCGCAAGCTGTTACTGGAGATCGATGCAGCATCGACCGAACTTCTCTTGCAAGCAGAGGTGGACCCAGACATGATCGCGTCGTGAAAAAATCAGGAAGGGCGGTTTTTCATTATTTTCAGGCCCTGGGGGCCCTCGCCGGGCCTCGGGAGCGTCAAAGAACGACGCAGGATGAAAAGCCGGTCCTGGGGAAAGGGTCCGGACTTCCGGGGACGCCGTCCTGAAAGAATCAGGACGTCGCATGTCTGGGGAGTGGACCCTCCTCGTTAGGCCAGGCGGGCGTATACACCGGTCGTGTGCCCAAGATTGGCCTTGCAAGGGTCGATGTAGGTGTACAGTGGGCACCTCGGTGGCGTGAGTGGCAAGCCGTGCCAGGATGCCCCCAGGGAGGCCGGAAAAGGGCACAAACGCAACCCGAGGATTCATGTACGTGGCTGGACGCGTATCAGACCTAGAATCATACCGTTGGCCTGCAAGTTTGTACAGTGCAGTGCAGCGGCCATGCGTCCAAGTGGGCGCGTCGGCAGGGCAAGCGAACGGCCTAACGCCGCTAAGAGCGGCGACGGGCGAGAGCACGGCCAAACGCCGGCAAAGAGATGAAGATGACAGATGGCAACGACGATGCATGAAGTAAGCCGTTGGACCATATGGTGCACTGCCCCCACTGTTGCCACGGGCGGCCTCGCAACACTGGACAAACGATCCGCCGCAGGCCGAGCGTGACCAGTCTTGATGTATTCAAGGCGTTGGAGGGCAGCGACCTCATCCTCCTCGTTGTTTCCCTCGTCTTCCTTGCCCTCTCGGTATTCCTCGCCTCCGAGGTTTCAGAGGTCCGCGCGGATTTCTGGGGTCGGCGCTGGACCGTCTGGTGGCGCTTCGGGCGCCGCCCATCCTTCCCTCCTCACCCATCCTCTTCATCCTCCACTCCTCTTCCTGACCCCACTCCCCGTTCTCCTCCTCCTCCTCCTCCTCTTCCTCCTCCTCCTCCGCCTCCTCCTTCCTCCATCCCCTTCCGCTGGAAGTCGCACGCCCCTTGGGCCTTGGGCGCTCACAGACCCGCAGGTGGTCCCAGTGCCAGCGGTGACGGACTGAGAAACCGGTTTGCAGCATCTCTTTGGTTGCATGTTGCTTCTGGGGATCCTCGGAGGCGTCTAGGTTCTGGGAGCCTGCAGGGGCTCCTGGAGGTCTCAAGAGGCCCAAGAAAGGCATAAACCGCCCAACGCCTTGGATCCTTCTTCCCCTCCTCCTCCTCCTCCCTCCTCCTCCTCCTCCTCCTCCTCCTCCTCCTCCTCCTCCTCCCTCCTCCTCCTCCTCCCTCTTCCTCCTCTCTCCTCCTCCTTTCCTCCTCCTCCTCCTCCCCTCCTCCTCTTCCTGCTCTTCTCTCCTCCTCCTCCTCCTCTCCTCCTCCTCCTCCTCCTCCTCCTCTACCTCCTACCTCCTCCTCCCTCCTCCTCCCCCTCCTCCTCCTCTCCTCCTCCCCTCCATCCTCCATCCTGCCCCCTTCCTCCTCCCCACTCCTCCCCCCTCCTCCTCTTCCCTCCCCGTCTTCCTCCTCCTCCTCCCGCCTCCCCCTCCTCCACGCCCACTGCCCGACGACGCGCAGGCGACGACAACGCCAGCGGCTGTGGCGACGACGGCTGCCGCGCCCTCGCGCGCGCCGCCGCGCGCGGGCGGAGGCGCCGACGCGGCGGACGTGCGCCGCGCCCCCCCCCCCCTGGCGCCGCTCTCTGGCGGCGGCGACGGCGGCGTCGGCCGAAGGCAACGTCGCGCCCAGGGGGCCGCCGCCCGCGGCGCGCCCCGATGAGAGGCCGCCGGGGGCGGCGTCCCACGCCCGAGGGGGCCCGCAGCGCACGGGCCCCGCGCCGCCGTCGCCCGCGCGCGGCCGCTGTCGCCGTCGCCGCCGCCGCCCGCCGCAGCGGCGGCGCCGGCGCCGTTGACGGCGACGGCGCCTACGGCGGCGGCGGCGACGGCGACCGCGGGCGTCGACGGCGGCGGCGGCGGCGGGCTGTCCTTCCGAGCGCGCCAGCCGCAAGCGGGCCCTCTTGGAATGCGGGGCTCTCTTGGGGCCCTCATTGGAGCTCTCTTGAAGTCATCTTCAGGTCGCGGGGGCCTATTGGATGCAAGAAGGCGGTCCAGGGTTTTAGTTTCGAGCCTGGCAGGCTGTGTGAAGCTGCGTGCGCTCGGCAGCCAGACTTTGGAGACACGCGGTGATTTGCAAGTTCCCGTTCCTTTCCTTCTCCCTCCCTTTCCGCAACATCGCGCTGGACATGGAAGCATCTTGGAGGACGTATTGAGCCATCCTGGGCCATATTGCGCAATCTCGGAGGCCATCTTTATATATATATATATATATATATATATATGTGGAGCCATTTTGGATCCAGATTTGCTCACAACATCCCAATGATGCCCACGATATGCCAGAATCATTGCAACACCACTTGGTTTAGAATGATTTTGGCATTGAGCGAAGGGAGGGTCATCAATTAGGGTTCCAAGTCTTGAACCAGAGAAACTACGTCTTTGGGCGCTCTTAGAGCACTCTTGGGCGCTCTTGGGGCCGTATTGGGGCCCTCTCGCAATGAATTGGGCAGTGATGAAGCATCCTGCTCTGCCCATCGGCCCACCCAGAAAATGCTTAACTATTACAAGTTGATGGGGTCCCTGTGGCACTCACGGCATCCCGACCCCTGGCGCGCGAGAAAGCGAGACCAACAAGTGCGCTTCCTGCACCGTTTCTGGCGAGTTGGGAGTCCGACGCAGAGCCCCAATGTGGCGCCCTCGCTCAGGAAACCAAAATGCTTCCTGCACCGTTTCCGGCGAATCGGACGGAATCTGGCGCAGAATCCCAAAATGGAGCCTTCGTTCTGGAACATTGTTGCAACATCGGCCCGGGCCAAGAGTGCTTCCTGCATGTGGCGCAGAATCCCCAACCAACGCCCTCGCTCGGGACATTCTTGCAACATTGGCCCCATGGGGATGGGTCGACGGCGTCACTGAAAAAGCGCATTCGCCATTCCATCTGTATTTATACACAGGTATACGCGTATGCGTGTTTGGATACATATCTTTGAAATATATAGAGACACATTTTGATATACACCTACATGTACAAAGTTATGATGCGCTTGTTCATCTTGTGAGAACATTCCTTCATTAGTCTGATAGCATGCCGTGGTAGGCTGAAATGCGGGGACGGTGTGTACACGACATGTCGGGCGAAGGCTTGCATGCCTCATATTTTGTACATGTACGGTTCCTACAAGGAGACATGTTTTTTTTGTTGGCGCTTCTTGTCTTTCTCTCAATCCTGGACCTTGGATGTCTTGCCTGCCAGTGCAGGGTTCACAGAGACATCCTGGTGATTGTCGTTTCGTCGCAGATCGTTTCTGATCGGAAACGTCCTCAGACGCCGCCTTGATTTTTCAAGACGTGGAGGTCTTTCGGAGGATCGGTGCTTTTCAGGCCACAAGTCCGGCCTCTGGCGGTTGTCCGAGACGATCTGCAGGGCACCCTCGAAACGCTCACGGCAAGCTGCAGTGCAAGTGCTGGTAAGCGTCCCGAGGCTGGAGAACCTCGAGCAACTTACGGCACAAAGGCTTTGTGCCGTAAGTTGCTCGAGGTTCTCCAGATCGAGCTTTGTGACAAAGCTCGACGAGAACAGATCCCAGATCCTCATGTCGTGCTTTCCGTTCAGGACGTCGACCCCCAAAGAGATCTGGACCGCTTCCGCGGTGCTCTGCATCCTGAGGCGTGCTCTGTGACAGTGCCTGGGTCGGCCGAGGGCCCCCCAGGGAAAGAGCTCTCCTGGCGAAGGACCAAAGTCCGTGTCTGGTTGTGAGCACCGCCGTTGTCAATGCCGCCTTCTGTGGAGCTCCCTCCGAGGCCACGAAGCGCGTGAGCCTCGGCCTCCTAGATGGGGTCGGAGTGGATGGGGTCGGAGGATCGCGCCGTATCGCCGATGCATCGCCGATGCGGCTCGATGTGGAGCCCGATTTGCTTCACGTCGACGTCGGCGATGCATCGGCGATGTCGGCGATGTCGGCGATGCATCGCTGGTGCATCGCCGATGCATCGCCGATGCATCGTCGATGTATCGGCGATGCGGCGCGATCCTCCGACCTCATGTACTCCGACCCCATCTAGGAGGTCTTCAGTGAGGGATGCGCCAAGTGGGAGGGGGGCCCCATGGGTCTGCGCCCGCTGAGGCCGCAGGTGAGTTTGGCTGTTGGGTCACGAGGCGCGCGAAAGGTGCGACGAAGCGGGCGGGGGCGACCCCATGCGCCCACTGAGACCGCTGCGCCGAAGCTGGCGGGGGCGACCCCATGCGTCTGCGCTCACGGAGACCGTAGGCGAAGCTCTTCGGGGGGCAGTGGAACATGGGAGGGGTGCGCCGAAGCTGGCGGGGGGACCCCATGCGTCTGCGCTCGCTGAGACGGCAGGTGGAGCTCCCTACTGGGGCAACACGTGTGAGGGGTGCGCCGAAGTGGGCGGGTATCCCCACGAATCTGCTCCCGCTGAGACCGTAGGTGGAGCTTCATGTGGGGCAACGAAACGTGTGAGGGGTTCGCCGAAGTGGGCTGGGGGACCCCATGCATCTGCGCCCGCTGAGACCGCAGGTGGAGTTCCCCATGTGGCCACGAAACGCGTGATGGGTCCGCTGAAATGGGCACGCGGAAAGCAGAGGCAAGGAGAAGGGTAAGGGAGGGGGAGGCGGGATTGGAGGAGATTCGGAGCGCCGCGGATTCAAACAAGGACCCAACTCAGCACATCATGGTTCGGACAAACAAGAATATCCTGGCGAAGGGCCCAACCATACGCAGTTGAGCATACCGCTTTGCGGGTACCAGTTTCGGTGGAGCTCCCCATGGGACCACGAAACGTTTGAGCGGTTTGCCGAAATGGGGCGGCGGTGAAACGCAGACTCTCCCGTTGGGGCCTTCGGTGGAGCTCCCTATGGGGTTACGAACCGTGAGAGAGGTGTGCCGACATGGGGCGGCGGTGCCATGCGGACCTTCCCGCTGGGGCCTTCGGTGGAGCTCCCTATGGGGCCAGGAAGCGTGTGAGGAGTGTGCCGAGATGGGGCGGCGGTGCCATGCGGACCCTCCCGCTGGGGCATTCGGTGGAGCTCCCTATGAGGCCACGAAGCGTGTAGGGGGTGTCCCGAAATGGGGCGGCTGTGTCATGCGGACCCTCCCGCTGGGGCCTTCGGTGGAGCTCCCTTTGGGGCCACGAAGCGCCTATGGGGCCACGGAGCGTGTTAGGGGTGTGTCGAAAGAAGGCGGCGGTGCCATGCGGACCCTCCCGCTGGGGCCTTCGGTGGAGCTCCCTATGAGGCCACGAAGCGTTTGAAAGGTGTGCCGAAATTAGTCGGTGTTGCCATGCGGGCCCTTCCACGGAAGCCTTTCTGTGGAGCTCCCCATGAGTACACGAAACGTGTGAGAGGTGTGCCCAAATGTGGCGGCGGTGCCATGCTGACTCTCCCGCTGGGGCCTTCGATGGAGCTCCCTATGGGGCCACGAAACGTGTGAGGAGTGTGCCGAAATGGGGCGTCGGTGCCATGCTGACCCTCCCGCTGGGGCCTTCGGTGGGGCCACGAAACGTGAGAGGGGTGTGCCGAAATGGGGCGGTGGTACCATGCAGACCCTTCCAAGGACGCCTTCGGTGGAGCTCCCTATGTGGCCTCGGAACGTGTGAGGAGTGTGCCGAAATGGGGCGGCGGTACCATGCGGACCCTCCTGCTGGGGCCTTCGGTGGAGCTCCCTATGGGGCCAGGAAGCGTGTGAGGGGTGTGCCGAAATGGGGCGGCGGTGCCATGCGGACCCTCCCGCTGAGGCCTTCGGTGGAGCTCCCTCTGGGGCCACGAAACGTGTGAGGAGTGTGCCGACATGGGGCGGCGGTGCCATGCGGACCCTCTTGCTGGGGCCTTCGGTGGAGCGCCATACGGGGCCACGAAACGTTTGAGCAGTGTGCCGAAATGGGGCGGCGGTGCCATGCGGACCCTCCCGCTGGGGCCCTTGGTAGAGCTCCCTATGGGGCCACGAGCCGTGTGAGAGGTCTGCCGAAATTAGTCGGTGTTGCCATGCTGACCCTACCACGGAAGCCTTCGGTGGAGCTGCCTATGAGGCCACGAAGCGTGTGAGAGGTGTGCCGAACGGCGGTGCCATGCTGACTCTCCCGCTGGGGCCTTCGGTGGAGCTCCCTATGGGGCCACGAAACGTGTGAGGAGAGTGCCGAAATGTGGCGTCGGTGCCATGCGGATCCTCCCGCTGGGGCCTTCGGTGGAGCTCCCTATGGAGCCACGAAGCGTGAGAGGGGTGTGCCGAAATGGGGCGGCGGTGCCATGCGGACCCTCCCGCTGGGGCCGTCGGTGGAGCTCCCTATGTGGCCTCGGAACGTGTGAGGGGTGTGCCGACATGGGGCGGCGGTGCCATGCTGACCCTCCTGCTGGGGCCTTCGGTGGAGCTCCTTATGGAGCCAGGAAGCGTGTGAGGGGTGTGCCGAAATGGGGCGGCGGTGCCATGCGGACCCTCCCGCTGGGGCCTTCGGTGGAGCTCCCTATGGGGCCACGAAGCGTGTGAGGAGTGTGCCGACATGGGGCGGCGGTGCCATGCGGACCCTCCCGCTGGGGCCTTCGGTGGAGCTCCCGATGGGGCCACGAACGTTTGAGGGGTGTGCCGAAATGGGGCGGCGGTGCCATGCGGACCCTACTGCAAGGGAGGAGAGGAGAGGAGAGGGACGCGGGGCGCTGTCTCTTCAAAACGAGGACCTAACACCACAGGATGGTTGGGAAAAGTCGCCCGTCGTGTTTTTCCGCGACGTGAGGCTTTCTGGCATCGCGTCCCATCCCAGACATCTGACGTCTTGTGTTTGTCAAGACGGGGTCCCTGGAGGTTTGGGCCTTCTCCGCGGGACCGGCTCTTCATCCCGAGCGATTGTTCGACAGCCCTGGGGCCCGGCGAGGCCCCCCAGAGGCCGAAAACAGCGAAAAACATCCGTCCCGAGTTTCTCGATACGTTGTAGGTCTGGGCTCCGGTCGGGCCTGGCGTCGAGCGGCCCTCCATCGCTTCCGTCTCGCGCGGCGACCTCGGGCCCATCCCCCCCGGCCGCGCCTGCAGGAGGACGTGGCGACACCCCGGCGGTGGCCCGCGGCGGCAGCGGAGGAGCGGCCCTTGCCCTTGTTTTCTCTGTCGCTGACGCCCCAAATATCCGACGATGTGAGTCGTTGGATCCCGCCGCTCGTCCCAGATTTTTCGGCCCCTGGGTCCCGTTGTCCGGCCCCAGGGCCATCAGGGATGGCGAAGCCTGCTCCGCCCGAACGTGCAGGCTTCGGCCCCAGCTGGCCCCAGACAGCCGCCAGTGCCGCAGCCGGGCACGGTGGGCACGGGGCCCGTTGCCTCCTCCTCCTCTTCCTCCTCCTCCTCCTCCTCCTCCTCCTCCCTCCTCCTCCTCCTCCTCCTCCCTCCTCCCTCCTCCCTCCTCCCTCCTCCCTCCTCCCTCCTCCCTCCTCCACGGCCCCGGAGCAGGTGGCCTTCGGCGCTGGGCCGCCCAGCATTGCTGCTCTGCCAGCGGCGGCTGGCCTCGCCGATCGGGCGGAGGCCGAGCAGCGCGGGCGAGCGGCCTTGGCGGGGCGTGCGGCCGCCCAGGGGCCCTGAGCAGCCTTCGGAGCTCGTGGGGGCTCTTGCCCGCATGTTTCTCGAAGTATTGGTTGCTTTTTTTATGGTTGTGTCGGCAAGAGCATGGTGGCAGCATCTTCCCCTTGCCAAAGCTTGGCAGGAGGGTCTCAGCTTCGGCGGGACGGCGATGCGGTCACCTGCCGTTGCACTGCCGAGCGTCTGGCAGCGAGAGCGTTGAGTCCAGGACAATGTTGAGGGATGTCTGGGCCGCGGCGGCGGCCACGGTCATCAGGGCCCTCGTCGCCCAGCCGCTCTCGTCGGCGGCGCGCGGCCCGGCAGCCGGAGGCGTCGCAGCGCGTATCTGCATCTTCCAAGAGGCCACGGCCGCCCCCCCTGGTCTCAGGTCGGGCACGGCCCGCTTACAGGCGGATTCTGGACGAGAAATGAAAACATGTTCAACACATGTTCAAGACATATTCAAACGTACCTACAACCAGTCGTACCCATACTGTGTCTTGACTGTCTGGGAACATCCATCCCGTAGGGGGGACAGGCCCGACTCAACCCTGGTCTCGATTACAGACCCGGGTGGCTGTCCGCAGAGGCGGTTCGTTCGGGGCCAGCGTTCGACTGCGCAGCGCTCCCGCCTCGGATCGGCGGCGAAATCCCAACCCTGCCCTCGCCGATCGACGGTTCGGGCAACTCGATTGGGCGACGGGGGCAGGGTTCGGAATTGTCCGGACACGTGGCGAACTCCGAACCCCACCTCCGCCCCCTGTCGGTTCCGGAGGATCACTGGTTGGTGGGGCTGGGGTTCGGACGTCGCCATCTGAGAAGGCAGCCGAAGACGGCCCAGGGTCGATAGGTAGCACGGGGTTCGTGTTCGACTGCGCGGCGCTCCTACTTCGGAGAGGGGGGATTGGAGCGGCGGCAACAGGGCAAGGAGGCGACGCGGATGGAGTGGGGGTTTGGCCCCCAAGAAAAACTCGGGGAGGGAGCGTGCCCCCTCCTACCGATATTTTTGGGGCATGTATTGGCCCAGTTTGTGTGTGTGAATGTGTGTGTGTGTGTTTGTGAATGCGTGTGTGTGTGTGTGTGTGAATGTGTGAATGTGTGAATGTGAATGTGAATGTGAATGTGAATGTGGATGCGTATGAATGTGTGTGTGTGTGCGTGTTACCTCTCGGCCCCGCCCCTGCTTCCCTCGTTCTTGCGTCGTGGCACAGTTCGCTCCCACGGTGCCCCCGTTCAGCTCGCTCTTCCGCCAGCGCGGGTACTCTGCCTGGCCGCCGGCGCCAGAAAGTGTGCTGCCTCCTCCTCGTGTCGAGCGCGGCCCGCCGGCACCGCGCAGAGGCGCCTGCGTTCGCCGGCGCTGTCGACGGAATGTGCTTGCCTCGTGCAGCCCCGCCGATCGCATGCAACCCGTGTCGACCCTCATTGCATCGCCAGCGTCGCACTGAAGGGTTCGGTGGGCAAGCACGCGCGGGCGCTGATACAGTAGGGGCGCGCATCAAAAAAAAACATGTGTTTGTCGTCAGGGTGCCCTTGGTTTCTTCGCTCCGCGTGGGCTCAGGAGGGGCTGTGGCTTTCGGGCCGTTCCTTGGGTCCGGGGTGTGGAATTTATTGAAGTGACTTACGCCATCCCGCCGAACCCCCAGAGGTGGTGAGTGCTTGCGACGATCGTGGAAGTTGTCTAGTGTGTCAGGAGCTTCTTCGACGTAATTATCTGAGGGGCTCGTGGAAAGCCTCTCAGGGGCCTCTTCGAGGGCTCTTGGGGGCATCTGGGGGGGACCTTGGGCCTTAATGGGGGCCTCTTGGGGGCTTCTTGGAGACGCCTCGGAGGTCTCTTGTGGCCTCTTGTGCGGGGGTCTCGTGGGGCCAGCTCGAAACGTCGGTTCGTGTATGTTTTCCTTTGGGGGGCTCCTCTCGGGGCCCTCTTGGGGTCCTTGGACCGTCTCGGGGGACCCTGCGGCCGTCTTGGGGCCCTCTTGGGCTGCTGGGGGGCCCTCGTGGAGGCCCCGTGTGCCCTGTCGGAGCGATCCTGGGGCCCCCTTTGGGCCGTCGTGGACGCTGCCAAGACGAAACCGGTGGGCAGCGAGTGGCCTTCGGCCCATGCCTCCAGCGTGCCTGAGGTGCAAGTGTCCGTGTTATCACAGGGATGCTTCTTGGGGGTCTCTTCGGAGCGCTCTTTGGGGCAGTTTCGGGGGCCTGTTAGGAGCCGATCGGGGGCCTCTTGGGGGCCTCTTTGGGGCCTCGTGAGGTCTCTTGGGGGCCTCTTGGGGGCCCCTCGGGGCCGAGGGCTCGAAGTGTCCGTTCGGGTTTCCCTACCTGGGCTCCTCTTGGGGCTGTCATTTGGGCCTCTTGGGCCGTCTTGGATGCCTCTTTTGGCCGTCTTGGGGCCCTCTTGGGCTGTTTTGGGGCCCTCTTGGTAGCCTCTTGGGCCGTCTTAGGGCGATCTTGGGGGCCTTCGTAGTGCCGTCTGGGAGCGTCGCGAAGCCGAAAAGGCGAGAACTCAAAAGACAGTCAACAATCAACAAGAAAATCAATGATTTTGGCCTCTTGGGAAGCACTCTCGGCTCGGAATAGATAGCCCCGGGCACCGTTGATGAGTTCCGGGTTCCCCCCCTCCCCGACCCCCCCCTCTGATGCTATTCTGAGCCCCCGGGGAGGGGGAACACGGGAGGGGTTGGGCGTTGCGTAATGGGAGGGTCATACATGGGGGGGTGGCGAGAATGGTCCGAAAAGGTACCCAAACGGTACCTAAACGAGCCCCCTGGGGCTCCGGAGGGGCCCGAAAGGGGCACGAAAGGGGACCGTTTCTGACCCCCCCATGAATGACCCCCCCGTTAAGCCACGCCCAAAGGGGACAGCCCCTCATCTCGCATACGCCTCATCTCCCCAGGACGAGGCGGGGGTCGGCGGACTCCGGGACGAGGCGCGCCGTGCCCGGAAGAGCCCCGTGGGTCCCCCTCTCCGGCGCTCCCTGCGGTATCGCACGAGGGGTGCTCCGAGGAGCGGTCGCGACGTGCTCGTGGCCGCCGGTGTCGGCCTCGGGGGGCCCTCGCCGGGCCCTGGGCCCGGGACGTCAGCGAAAGAGTGAGGTCGGGAGCCTCGAGACGGGGGTCAGTGCAGACGGGGGTCAGCCAGAGTGCCGGATCTTGCAGGATCCTGCAGCGCCAGGGTCGCATTGACCCGGGTTTGGGTGCAGGATCCTGCAGGATCTTGCAGGATCCTTCGCATTGACCCGGGTTTGGGTGCAGGATCTTGGAGGATTTTGCAGGCCTGATTGACCCGGGTCTGGATTGACCCGGGTCAGAAGATCCCCGATGAGGGTGGGGAGTTGGCCCCAGGACGTCAACAGATGAGGCAGGAACGGGTCGGGACTCCCGTGGGCCCCGAATATGAGTCCATCAGGGCATCGGACCTCGCAGGCTGGGGTCCGAGCAGCACTGGCACGGCAAACAGTTCTGTTCCAGCGTTCAGGAGCGCATCGTGGATGTTTCCCCCCGGTCTTGTCGACGAGTGCTGACGGCCCAAGAAGCGCATCATGACGACGGAGCTTCCCTGCTTCATCATGGCTAAGTGGCACCAGTATGGGGTGCCCAGGGCGTTGCTTCTCAGGTTTGCGACATTCCCGGACATCCGACGATGTGTTTTTTTTTTTTTTTTTATGCGTGGCCCCAACGGTCCCGACCGTTTCCCTCAGGGTGTTTTTCGTCGATCCATTTTCGATTGCCCTGGGGCCTGAAGGCCAGATCGAGGAACAACGCGCTGATTGAACACAGCCGTATCTGGAAAGATTTAGATTGGCTGCCGAGAAGGCGCCATGGCGACTGCGATAAGCAGTGGGCGGCGGCGACGGCGGCCCAGATATCCGACGTTGTGATTGTTTCACAACGTGGACCCCCAGAGGTCTCGACCCCTTCCCCGGTACAGGGTTTTCATCGCATCGCATCACCAGCGAACGGGAGGTGTCCGAACTATCACGGGAAGCCTCCATCCCTCGTGGCAAGCATCTTGACGTTTCTTGTCAAAGTTGTTGGCGAAGAGATCGGTTCCATCATGGTTAAATCCATGTGTTGACGCTACGGCCGAGGGGCTTTGCAGCAGCACTCAGGATGCCGCGTGGCATGGCCAGCACCCTCCTCTCCCGAGTGGTTCGCGGCCTGCCTCGGTGGGAGTAGGCCTCAGGGCACCCATAGAGAGTGGACCCTTTGGCGGTGCACTCGACACCCTTTCCCCTCCAGCCGCCTCCGGGGCAAACTCAAGCAGGGGGCCAACCCTGGCCACCGGCTTTCCATCCCGAGCCATGTTTCACAGGCCCGGCGGCGAGGGCCCCCGCAGGCTGAGACTGAGCAGGAACCGTCCGCCGCGAGTTTGTTCGCAGCGATCTGGGCACAACAAAGAACCACAACCACAACTGCACGGATTGTTTTGAGGACCCCTCGGGGGAGAACTCGCCAACCTCGACATGAACAGTCTGGTTGTGATCGACTGTTCTGACTGACCGTTGCTGGCATGCGCAAGACGTCCCCTAGGCTGTGTTCTCGATGTGGTGGTGCTCGCGTTCAGCCACGCGCAGAGGGGGGTGGGGCGAGGGGGGAGGGCTTCTTAGACGCACCCCTGCTTCTCAGAAGGCGCGGAGCGCGGGCCTTCTCTGTAGATGTGAGGCCGGCGCCTTCTCAGAAGCAGCCTCCTCCTAAGAAGCCCTCCCCCCTCCCTCCACAACCCCTCGTGCGCGCCGCGAGCGCCTGCTGCCCGCGCAAGCGAGAGGATGTCAGGCGGCGGCGGCGGCCGCGGGGAACGACAGGCGCGCCCCGGCGGGCGGGCAAGGGGCGCCCCCGCGCCCCGGGAGGACTGCGCGGCGCCCTCGTCGACGGGCTCTGCCGGCCACCCGGAGCGTCCCGCCCCGCCCCCCCCTCCCCGCGCGCGCCCGGGTTCGGTTCCGCCGTCGGCGCCGTGGCGATGCGGCCCGATTCGCTGCGTGCTCCGATCCAGGACCTCCAGTGTCTTGACCAGCAGCGAGACGCACGTGTGTTTTGCCGTGTGAGGCCTCTGGGGACCCTCGCCGGGTCCACGCCGTCAAAGAACGATTCAGGATGAGACACCAGTCCCAGGGAGTGGGCCAGAACTTCTGGGGTTCGGATACAAAAATACGACGTTGGGGGTATGGTTTCCGATTCGATCACGTTCCCCAATGAAGGGAAAAGGTGGTGAGGGAAACGGGTACTGAACGACGGCTACTGGACCCCAGAGCTTTCCCCCGCCCTCAGAGTAGGAAAGGGCTCCTATTCGAAATCCTGGTCAGAGCGCGCCCCGATAGAGGTCTAGTGAGGTATCGATACCATTTTGTTTCACCACGCCCCCCCCCCTCCACTCAGCGCCACCGGGACAGGTGCGCAGCAGCGGATGCAGTGCGTAGCGTAGCTACCACTTCAGAGTCCTCAGCCCAGATCGTGACAGGTGCCAGCCGGCAACAGACACTTCTAGGGTGCCGTATTTTTGTAGTTGACGGGCGAAGTGGACTCCGTGAGTTCTGTCTTGGTCTTGGTTTGGCCAGCGAGTCGGCCGCGCGCGGCGAGCATTCCATCTCGATTTCGGCCTTTTTCCTTTTGCACTGTGCACAATCCAGTTGGTCGCGTCCAGTCCCACACCCTGCCAGCGCCTGCACTCTGCGCGGCGACCTATCGAGCACCGCCGACAAGGCTATCACATGTGACGCCTGGTCGCCCGTAGGAAGAGGAGAACATGGAGGATGCGGCTGAGGAGGAGCAGGAGAAGGAAGAAGACGGTGAGGAGGAGGACGATGAGGTGGGCAAGGAATGCTTGTCCATGTGGCACCCGTCGTCCCCAGAAGAAGGAGCCCACACACAGCCGAGCATCTGCAAGGACGCGTGGGCAGAAGAGCGCGCGATTGGCAACCCTGCGGGCATAACGAAAAGAGAGATGGAAAGCGGAGCGCCTCACGTCTGTGACGCAGAAAAAGGAGCGCCCCGACTTTGAAAAGCAGAAACTGGGGCGCCCGACTGTGAACCAGAAGACGGGCAGCGAGGTAGTAGGAGGAGGAGAAGGAGGAAAGAGGGAAGGAGGGAAAGGGGCATAGATGCTAGTCCATCTCAGAGCGCACCTGACGCACCCATTGCTGGCGGTGGCGGCCCTTTTTTTCGGCGCCCAGCCCAGATCTCGGGGATCCCATCGTCAGTGCAAACTGCGGCTTTGACAAGCGACGGGCAACCATAATGTTGGACTTTCCTGTGCACAGCAATCTGCCTGGCGAGCAACATCTTCGACAGTGATTGGAGAGATACTGTTTGCAACACCACTGCGTTGCTAATCCTGCAGACGAATGATTGAGGATTCGCCCCCTCGCAAGCGACGTAAGCATTTGCAGGGGAAGGCGTCTAACACACACGGGCTGTCTGCAGATGCCAAGCAGGGTCTGCAGAGTGCAAGACATTGCTCAGGACGCAACATTCACATGTGATGCATGTGCGTTTCCTTTCCATTGAAATGCGAGGCTACGTCAGGTGCAACTGCTCGAATATACGGTTTGTTGTACCAGGTCGCTTGTTTAATTCATTACCACTTTCCCATCATACGAGATGAGACCTCCAAGATACAGAGTTCCCCTCACCGCCTTACTGTGCTCACCACGTTGTGCTCATAGCTTCTGGTCTGTACTTATGGTTATGTGAGCAGTCTGTTTCCTCATCAGTTCCAGGCCATACTTCCTACCTCGCTACATTGTTATTACCAGCATGCATCGCGAGTCGGAACACTGTGACGACGCCAGCGAAGTATCAGCGGCGTGCGTGCTACCACGTGGCATCACGGCACGGGCCCGTGCTGCACAAGAGCACCACGCACATCTTGCAGCGTTGCACCCCGAACGGCGATGAAAAAGGCACGGCGGGAGCGGGCAGCCCTGAAGCCACCCCTGCGCCGGCCCACCCCGCCCAGGAGCTTGCCCAAGAGCTGCCGGGGACCCACCGCCGATCCCTCGGAGATGCATCGCCGACTCCAGGTCGGTGCCTCCCCCCATTCGGGCGAAGAGAATTATGCACATGCACCGATCCTGGCAAGGCCCATCTTTGACCCAGGATCGGTGCACGTGCCTTCCTGGCCAAGGTAGGAGGGCGTATGCACCGATCCTGGGCTCAGGATGGGCCTGGCCAGAATCGGTGCATGTGCATAGTTCTTTTTCCTTCCCCCATGGCGATTGCCACGTCGCGCGCTGGAAGCGTTCTCGGACAGGTCGCGGGCCGACTGGTCGGTGGCGCGCGCGGGCGCCCACAGCTGGGATCACCCTGTCCTCGCCCGCAGGACGTGGCCTCTCGCGCGCGCGAGGCTCTGCAGCTTGCTTCTGGGAGCACCCCCGGTATGCTTTCCAGCGACTTGGCAGGCATCTCCTCCCCATCGCTGCCCCTCAACGTCGGCCCGACGGATCCGATTCGAATACGATATCCCGCGACTGCCCGATGCGTCCCGATGTCTGCTTGGAGCTACTGTGCATCTCGGCGCGGCCGTTCCGACTCGATTCTGACGCCGTGCCAATGCGGCCCGATTCGATGTGCGTTCCGATTTAGTTCGGCTTCTCGATGAAGGCAAAGGATGCTGAGGGAGATGAGTGCCGACGTAAGGAGTCCTGGACTTCTGGGCCTTCCCCCAGGACCACTTCTGCATCCCGGGCCATTTTTGACGGCCCTGGGGCCCAGGAAGGGCCCCGAGAGCCCGAAATGAGCCAATTTTCCTCCAGGACTCGAAGCAAAAGTCGCATACACATGAACTTTCTGAGCTCCGCGCGGATTTGTTTATCTGCGCTGGACCCCCCTCCCTCGCGCGCAGAGCGCGCCAGGGGCGGCGCCAGTTTGCACCAGAAGGGGGTGCCCAGCGCCGATCCAAGAGAGCCGCGGGAGCTCCAAACGTTTATGTTTGTGCTGGCTTCCATGTTGCGAAGGACAGGGCCCGCTTGTGCCGTTGTCCAGAACCTGCTCAGTCCGGGACGAACCCCACGTGATCCGGCTTGACCCCAGGCCCCAGGCCTGATCTGGCCTCATCTGGCCCAGTGCGCGCTAAACGGGCTGCAAAGCCCTCACTCGTTCTGACGAAGACCTCCCAGGAGTTGCTCCCTGCGCGCCTGTTCCGTGGCGAGCGCCGAGCGGGGCGCGCGATTCGAGGCGGATCTGGCCCTGCCCTCGCGCCGCCGGCGCGCGCCAGGAACAGTGCGGGCCGCCCTGCAAGTACGTCAGGAAGACCAGGGGTTGCAAGGAGCGGCTCCTCCCCCGCGCGCACTCGCTCCTCCGTTGTCGGCACTGGCTTCGAGGTCGTTGTCGGCACCGGCTTCGAGGTCGAAGTCGACGTCGACGTTGGGCCGAGGTGGAAGCGGTACCGATACCGCTATCTTTCCCTCGTTGTCGCCTTTGGGGCCTCCGAGGCCCACGTCGCCACGGCTGGATTCGCCGGGAAATCCTGGTCCTCATGCGCTCTGGTAGAGGTCTGGGGAGTGGCGTATCGGTACCTCTCCGTTCCCCCAGACGTTGGCGTCGACGAGGCAGAGGGGACGGAGAAGGAAGGCGATGAAATTGGCGCAATGTCGTCGTCGTCGTCGTCGTCGTCGTCGTCGTCGTCGTCGTCGTCGTCGTCGTCGTCGTCGTCGTCGTCGTCTTCCTCCCCCTCCTCGGCCTCCTTCCCCCTACCGGTCCCAACCCTTATCCTCGCGCCCCATTATCCCGCTCTTGTTCTCTTCCTCATCCTGCCCCCTTCCGCCTCCTCCCTCCTCCTCGCCCCCCCCCCCCCTTCTCCTCCTCCCTCTCCTCGCCCTCCTCCTCGCACCATCCACCTCCCCCTCGCGTCTTCTTCCTCCTCCCCCTCCTCCGCCTCCGCCTCCTCCCTCCTCCTCGCCCCGCTACTCGAACGGGACTTTTGTGTGTTTCTTCTCTTGTCTCTCGTACGCGTCTCCCTTTTCCGCTGCCAATCAGCCCTGGGGCACGGAAGCTGGCCAGCTTCCATACCCATGCTGTTTCTTATCGTTTTACACACATCGTGCTGTACTTCTTGCACTGCCAAACAGTACGCTCTCATTGCTCACCCTCTTATCTCGAGTCCGCCTACGTCCCCTCCATATGCTCCTTCCCTCTTTCTGGGTGGCTGCGGTCTGTGGCGTCGCGATGGTGCGATAGCCCTCATTGAGGGTCAGCGGATGCTTCTCTCTTTTCTTTCCCTGTGTCGTCTTCTGGATCTGCTTGTCCTTTCTTTTGTCCGCCCTTCCTTGCTGGCCAGCGTCGCTCCTCCTCCTCCTGTCACGCGGGGTGGGCGGGCGGGGTGGGCCGCACGCTCCCCCCCCTCCCTCCCCTCGGACAGCTCCGACTAACTTTTTTCCCAACCATCCTGTGGTGTTGGGCCCTCGTTTTGAAGAGACGGTGCGGCGCGTCTCCTCCTTCCTCCTCCTCCTCCTCCTCCTCCTCCGCCTTCTCCTCCCTGCGTTTCACCCAACCAGTACAGCGTTTCGTGGCCCCATAGGGGGCTCCACCTAAGGTCCCATGGCGGAACTCGCACGCCGTCTCTGCACCCATTTTGGCACACCCCTCACACGTTTCGTGGCCAGATAGGAGCATAGGGAGCTCCACCTAAGGTCCCAGTGGCGGAGTTCGCATGGCGGTCCCCGCACCCATTTTGGCACACCCCTCACACGCTTCGTGGCCCCATAGGGAGCTCCACCTAAGGTCCCAGTGGCGGAACTCGCATGCGGTCCCCGCACCCATTTCGGCACACCCCTCACACGTTTCGTGGCTCCATAAGGGGCGCCGTCCTCGTCGTCGTCGGCGCCCGCGAAGACGGCCGCGAATGTGTCCCTGAGCATGTCGGGCTCTGGCGGGAAGCCGTGGCCACATAGGGAGCGTGGGCGAAGATGTATTCACAATTGCGGTATTCACAACTGCGTATGGTTGGGTCTTTTGTCAGGCTACTTTTTGTTGTTAGTTTTATTTTTCCATCTATCCACTGGCTGAAGCGTGCATGGTGCTTCTGATGCTCCTCGTCGTCCTCCTCTCCCTCTTCGCCTCCTCCTCCTCCTCCTCCTCCTCCTTCTCCTCCTCCTCCTCCTCCTCCTCCTCATGATTGTCGTCATCATCGTCACCATCAGCCACTTGGGCTCGCGTGCCTGAGGTGTGGCCACATGGCTGCTCTTGCGGCCCCCCTCCGCCTGCCTTCTCTCGTTCCCTGGCCACCGCGGTCTGGTGCCATCGTCTCTGCCGCGCGCCTCGCGTGGGCGAGCATTGCACTCGAGGTTGGGCGGCAGGCCTCCACTCGTGCACACCTGCAAGGACAAGCTGGACGCAAAAGTCGATATGCTGCCGATGTACGCCCCTGCGGTCTGCAACGGCCTTCTCGTCGGCATGCTGCGCATGACGATGGGGGACCTCGACAATGCGATTGTTGTCGACCATGGCCACAGGGACTCCAAAGGTGTCCCGCACTTCTGCATCGTTGCGGCTCCCCTTCCTGGTCATGCTGCTGTGGAGTTTCCTCCCCCTGTTCATGGTGGCGGTGATGATCTTCCTGGAGGTGACGACCCTGCTGTTCGGGTTCTTGCTGCTCTCGGTGGGTCGTCCGCCAGCGGGTGCCGCTCGAGTTCTCGCAGGTGCTCATGACTGCGGTCGTCCTGACCGTCCTGAAGCTGCTGGTGTTCGTAACCTCCCTGTTTCTGGAGGTGCTCAGCTCACGCTGATCACCGCGGTGGAGCTGCTCTTCCTGATTGTGCCGCCCCGCTCCCTGGTGGTGCTGGTGCCCTTCTTCCTGACGGAGCCAGGTCACCGACTCCAGCGCCGATCAGCTCACCGAGTCCCGCGCCGGCCAGTTCACCGACTCCCGCACCGACCAGGTCGAACAGCTCGATGACTCCGGCGTCGAGTGGCTCGCCGACTCCCGCATCGACCAGCTCACCGGCTGCCGCGCTGAACAACTGGGCGGCTCCCACGCCGATCAGCTCACCGACTCCCGTGGTGACCAGCTCGTTGACTCCGGCACCGACCAGATCGGGACCTGCCGCACCGACCAGCTTGGCGGCTCCCTCGCCGACCAGGTCCATGACTTCCGCGCCGGCCAACTCGCCGACTCCCTCGCCGACCAGCTCGCCGACTCCCGCACCGACCGGTTCGCGGCCTGCTCCTTCATCGACCAGCCTCCCGGCTCCCGCGCCGACCATTTCATCGACACCAAGACGCCTCGGCCCCGGAACCAACAAACTGACACCAACACGCCTCAAACCAACAAACTGACACCAGACTCTGGCTCCCGAGCGGAGGACGAGGTGAGGAAAAAAGGTGGTTTCAAATGCAACGCCTCCCTCGCCGTCCCGCTCACCGACTCCAGCACCGGCCAGCTCGCCGACTCCCGCGCCGACCAGATCGCTGACTCCCGCACGGACCAGCTCTCGAAGTCGCTATCCAGGGGCGGCTGCCGCGCCGACCAGCTCGCTGGCTCCTTTGCCGACCAGGTCACCGATTCCAGCATCGCTCCGCTCACCGAATCCCGCACCGACCAACTCGCCGACTCCAGCGTCGACCAGATCACCGATTCTCATGCCGACCAGGTCGCCGACTCCCGCATTGCCCAGCTCACCGACTCCGGCGCGGTCCAGCTCGCCGACCAGATCGCCGACTCCCGAGCCGTCCAGCTCGCCGACTCCCGCACGCACCAGTTCGCCGACTCCTTCCCAGTCCACGGCCAAAGTCGGTGCACGACCCTGGAGCGGGACGTTGTGCAGGCGGGCCATTGGAAGTACCGGTACAAGTGTCCCCGTCTCCAACCACCCATCGGCCTCCATCCTCTTCGGGAGCGTCTATCACAAGAAGGACCTCCGCTACCAGCTCATCCACTTCTACTTCTACCTGTGACTTCCGTCGCATCGGCCTGCTTTAGTGATTTCGCTGCTGTTTTGTTCTGTCGTCCTTTTCTTCCCTTGTCCTCTGCCGTCTCTTCCTCTTTCGCTCTGTTGGCTCCTTCTCCCTCTTTTCCCCTCCTTTGTTTTTGTCTTGCCCGTGAGGGACCAATGTGCGAGTGCCGCTGGCAATGCCTTGTAGGTGTACGCACGCGCGGGCTTCTCCTCTTCACACGCTCGCGTGGGACAATTTTGTGGGTGTCTCCGGCGAAGTCAGGGGTCGCTGACGCACGCACGAGCTGTGCACTCCCTTTGCTTGTTCCTTGCTGTTCCTTCTTCTCCTTCTCCTTTTCACTCTGGCGTTTTCCTCGCTTGCTTGCCAGGCGCTCCTCCGTTACACGCGGTGGCGCAGCCTCGCTGTGGTGATCTACAGTGCTCTGGAATCATGGTATCATCGTTGCCAGGCGGGAAAAAACACACCCTTTTCGGCCTCAAGGTAAGTGTTCTGTACCTTCTCGGAGGGCCCGAGGCCTCCCGAACCTTCTGAGCAGGCCCGCCCTTTCTCACTTCACCCCTGGGCCCGCCGCCGAGTTCGGGGGACAGAGCCAGCCCCACCAAACTCCAAAAGAGCATCTTGGAGAAAGTGATCGTTTTTGTTCGTTGTTGTGCCGATCGGCGCGGGCCCTCGCGCCCCCCCCCGCCCCCCCCCATGGGGTAGATCTTGGTCGTTTTTGGAGCTTGTTTCGAGCAGGTGGAATCTCCCCTATACGACGCATGGCCCCAAACAGTCGCAGTAAGCAGAGGTCCGGAGCCAGACCCCCCCCGTCCTTCCCTTTCCGCCCAACGTCGAAACGCGTTTTTTTTGTTGTGTGTGTGTGTGTGTTATATTTGTTAAGAAGAAACGCTCACCAAAGTGCCCGTCGGCTTCATGGAACGATTTCGGGGTCGCACCGAAGTCTTCATGGGACTGCCTGGCCGCGGGGGCATCATCCCGCAGCGGCGCCCCCCTTCTCCCGCCCAACCTTGCATCGATGCGGCAGCGGCCCCGCCATGAACCAATTTTGGATGGGGGGCTGGGTGGAGGGTTCCTCCGAAGGGCATAGACGACCCGTCCTTTTCCTCCTCCTCCTCCTCCTCCTCCTCCTCCTCCTCCTCCTCCTCGGGTCGCCTGCGGCCCTGGAGGAAGCCGTGCAGGGTTGGGGGGATGTTGAATCGATCCATTCAGATTTTCCCCATGAGGGTTGAAGCCAGTTTTCCTCCAACATTTACTTTCCTTATAGACAATTCTTTCCTGTCCAACCCCCAGGTGTGTCGGTAGGGCGGGGCCGGGCGTTTCGGTTGAGATTCCACAACCATTTGTACGTTTCCGACGCTTTCAATTTGCAGAAGCTTCATGGATGGAGGGCGGGTCGTTTTGATCACGTGCTCTTGCCTTAGCGCCGCGCACAGTCGTCTTCAACTTTTGCAGCAGCTTCACGGATGGAGGGTGGGCATGTTTGGCACGCGGTGTTGTGCTTTAGCGCCGTGCGCAGTATTTTTTTTTTTTTTTTTGAAAAAAGATGCAGCAGTTTCACGGATGAAAGGCGGGCGGCTTTCAAAATGTGGTTACCGCGCTAGCGCCGCTTTGCAGCAGTTTCAAACATGGGGGCGGCATTCGCGCCGCGCGCGCTTGTCCTAAGAGTTTGCAGCAAGTCTCGAGGTCTCGTATGGCTGAAGGTCCAGGAGTGGTGTTCGGGCACGATGGAGGGTTGCCATGACGCAGCCGTTCCATTGGACCGCCGTGCTGAAGTCCCAGGGATGGCGTTCTGGCGCGATTGCGGACTGTCAGGGCGTGCCAGTCACCCGGATTCGCGACACTGGATCCCCAGGAATGGCGTTTTGGCACGCTTGAGCATTCTCTCACTCTTGTCTTCCAGTGGGGCGCTTCCCGCCATGAACATGAATCCTATCAGGGGGCGCGTGAAGAGGGAACGTGGAGGGACGGTCTACTGCAACATAAGTGGTGCGTCCTGGGTTTACACTGCTCCTCCTTCTCCTCTTGCGTGATTCGCAACTTCGGAGGTCGGGCCATTGTGTCCTGCTCCTGCTCCGCACGCGCTCGCGCGGCGCGCCCGCCCGCCCGCTCCTTGGGCAGGAGGAGGAGGAGGAGGAGGAGGAGGAGGAGAAGGAGGAGGAGGAGGAGGAGGAGGAGGAGGAGGGAGGGAGGGAGGGAGGGAGGAAGGGAGGGAGGGAGGGAGGGGGAGGACGAGGAGGACGAGGAGGAGGAGGAGGAGGAGGAGGACGAGGCAGGGGTTACAGTCAAGACGGTGAGATGAGGACGACCCTGGGATCAGGAGGGGCTCTGGTTTTCAGAACGCTCCTGAAATCGAGGTAGGTATGAGAGCCTATTCGTGGCCAAGGCTTACCGTGGCCAGAAAAGCCTCTTCTTTCCTCAGTCAGCGTTCCTTGTTGTAGCACGATGGCTGTAGGGGGTCAAGCTACCCCCCGAAAGGACGGTGTCGCTCACTCTCCTCCACTTGCCCAGCTCATAAGTAGCACCCGAGTCCCAGCGCTGGCAAGGGCATTGGATCGACAGGCAGTGAGAACCCAAACAGACGCCAGGCGCGTGACGCCTGCGGGGTTGCGCCGCGCGCGGCAGGTGCGAATCTCGCGCCAGGTGCGCCAGGCGCCAAGGGACCCAACCATGCCCGTCGCACCTGGTGCGCCAGGGGAGAGGCGGGCTCTACGCTCGCCAAGTGTGCCACGTGCTCCACCCACGAAAAGTGCGCCAGGGGTGCGGGGCGCGCAGAGTGTGGCGGGTGCGCCGGTAGACGTGACAGCATGCACCGGGAAGCATATCGACCCCCCCGTGGTCGCAACTCTTTGGTGAGCAGGTGGCACACGCAGGGGTTCGTCCTTGTCCGCCAGTTGTGAATCAGCAGCAGCAGCAGCGGCAGCAGCTCTCGCGGCGCGCCACCCCGCACGCCCGATCGCGCCGCCGCCGGCTCCGAGCGCCTGCGGCGGCACCGCCGCTTGGGCCGCCCGCTCGCGGCGGCGGGCGCACCCCCCCCCACCTGCAACGTGCGCGCGCGGGGGGGTGAGGCGGCGCCCTGTGCGCGCCGGGCGTGCGTCGATGATCCTCAGGGCGCGCGTTGGCCCAAGGTGTATACGGTCGGACCGAGGTGTAAGGTCGAGGTCGGTTCGGGGAGGGTGCCCTCGTGTTCTTCGCGTTTGTGGGATGTTCTTGTGCATCCTGGGGAGGGTACCCTAGGATGTTCTGTGCGCTTTGGCCAGCGAAGGGTCTCACGTTCTTGAAGGATGTTCTGCTATCCTGGGTCCGACTGTATCGGCGGTGGGAGAAGGCCTAATCGGAAGGCGGTGGGACTTCTCAGAACCCCTAGCGCCTTCTGACCAGTTTCCCGTGTCTTCGGGGAATGCTCAGAAAACTGGTCAGAAGGCTGGAGGCCTTGTGAGCCTTCTGAGAAGGCCCGCCCCGTCTCATTTCCCCCCCTAGGCTTGCCGCCGAGTGTGGCACTCGGGGGCAGCGTGAGGGGGGATCGACTCGAACAAGTTGTTTCAGCCCGGGGTGGTTTCCGGCAGCTGCCCCTCGTCGCGAGCGTTCCCGGGGTGCCAGGACCGCCTTGAACCGTCTGGCCGCTGGAGAGCCGAGCTATAGCTAGGGCGGGACATGCTCAGGGCCCAGGGCGGAGAAACATCGGACCCACTCGCCCATCCATCGACGACAAGGGCCCGGCGGCCCACTCCGGGACGTGCTGTTTCGCTGTCTGGGGCCTCTCGCGGATCTGTCGGCGATGTATCGCCGATTGCAGGTCGCTGTTCTTCCCCATCGTCACTGTGGAGCCGAAGATGCTGCCAACGCCATCGGCAGGGCGCTCCGTGTTCTGAGCATCGGCCGCCCCTCCTGGACCACTTCTCCGCAGCCGCCCTCTTACTTTCCTTGTTTGTCCTGTGTGCACTTAACTCGGCGCGGCCAGGCTCTTGGCAGCTCACGTCGCTGCGACAAAGAAGTTAGCCCAATGTGAGTGTGCGTGTGTGTTGCCTCACTCCGCGGCTTTAGCCCAACTCCGCTACGCAGCTGCGCGCGTGGTTGCGACGCCAAGAACTGTTCATGTGTATGCGTGTGTGTGTGTGTGTGTGTGTGTGTGTGTCTTCGTGCGCGCGTGCGCGAGCGCGCGTGTGTGTGTGTGTGTCTGTGTGTGTGCGCGTGCGCGAGCGCGCGGCTGTGTGTGTGTGTGTGTCTGTGTGTGTGTGTGCGCGTGCGCGAGCGCGAGCGCGCGTGTGTGTGTGTGTGTGTGTGTGTGTGTCTGTGTGTGTGTGTCTGTGTGTGTGCGCGTGCGCGAGCGCGCGGGTGTGTGAGTGAGTGTGTGTGTGTGCCTGTGTGTGTGTTTTGCCCAGTTCAGCTCCACCGGTAGGCAGTCTGCGTGCAGCCGGCGTCGGCCTTCCTCTGCGCCGCGTGCGTCGCCTTTTGCGGGGCTTCGGTCGACCCGCACGCGCTGGCGCCAACGCGCGCTCCGAGGCTCGTCGAGTGTGCCCCCTGGGGGGGGGGTGGGCGGGGCGGCCGGCGGCGCCGGGGGCGGGCGCCCCAGCCGTCGGCCGGCCCCTCCTCGTTGAAGTCTTCGTCGTCGTCCTCGCCGCCGCCGCCGTCATCGTCGTCGTCGTCGTCGGCGGCGGCGGCGGTGGCGTCGTCGTCGTCGTCGTCGTCGTCGTCGTCGGCGGCGGCGGCGGCGGCGGCGCTGCCCGACGTTGCAGCTGCGCGCCAGGGGGAAGCTTCTCAGCCCATTTCCCGTTCGGAGGCTTCCGGGGACGAGGTCGCTCCCAGGAAGACCCCACCCCGGAATTGCCATCAAGGGGGGAACAACATGGGTGTCCGCGATTCGGTAGGTCCAGCCTTTTATAGAGAAACGAATTGCCCACACGTAAGTTGTATAGACACTAGCACCCTCTAGCGGCGCCTCCGGCGCCGCCCTTGGCGCGCTCTTCGCGCCAGTGTGGGGGCTGCAGCTTCCAGGAAGGTCG